CTAATAACTCTGTTACACAACGCTGTAAGTAACAAATATGACCAAGTAAACATTTGGAGCTAAACATCCGCATGGCAACACATGACACATATCAAAACGGTAGCGTGTGTGACGCAATATAGGACAGGGTATGACTTGGTTAAAAGGACACAGATTTGAGAAATATAATTGCAATGAATAGGACATGTATTTGAAAAAGGACACAGATTTCAGCCTAGACATAGATTTGACTCATGCATGTATATTCCATATCTAGGCGTTAATTGGGTGTGAGTACACAGCAATGGACAGTTCAGATTGGGAAAATTGAAATCATGTCTTTAGTTGTAGGTAGATTGTAGTTTTCAACCGTCCTTCATTACAATAAAAAAAAACGTTGCATGATTGTCAATGTGTCATGAAATAAAATTTCTTTCATAATGTAAGTTCTAAATGGAAAAAAATATTATATTACAGTATTTGTTCCTAACGAAATAAAGGGTATAGAATATTTGTTCCAAAAGGAATAGATCTTTTGGAATTGTTTATTACAAACTTTCTAGGAAAACTTCTGTTAGGCAGAACAAATATACGTTGCCAAATGAAACAACTGGTTTGACAAATAGAAATGTTGTGTTAAATAATGCATGTGTGCACTCAATCATCTCCCTAGCCTGCTGTCAACACCGCAGTGAATTTGAACTCCGCTTCGGCAAGGCGAGTTCGACTAAGATCTTAATTGACTATAATAGCAAGTTTTCTTTTCGCCGGGTAATCCGACTTCCTCACAAAAACCTAACAACCATGATATAGCCAAGTGTACTGAATGTGGTGTTAAACACAACCAATCAATCAATGAATCTCCCTAATTTGGGACAATGGTTAAAAATGCAACATTAAAACAAAACATAAAAATAATGTGAAAAGGGCTTGACTCCTCAGATTCGCGCTATTAACACAAAAACAACTAACAAAATTAAAAAGGCACAAATTTAAGTTATATATATATATGAGCACTCGCAGTTAATAAAAGCAGGTTTTAAGTCTTATTTCTACCAATACATAGGCCATAGCAAATTCATAGATGTAAGAGGATATAAGCTTTTTGTAATATCCTTAATTAATGTAAAGTGAACATATCCGTTTGATAAATCGATGACCTTGGCCTCTTTTGAGCTAATTTGCAAGCATACATTCAGGTGGATAAATGTCTCATTGCATGGCAACATCTTAATCCTATTTTTATACAGAGTTGTCTTTATTCTTTGCAAGCATACATTCGTTTGGTCTCTTGCGGATAGTTGTCAATGTCAACATACTCTATCCGTTATTTTTATACAAAGTAGCTTTTTAGACAAATTGTTTCTGATATAACATTTATTTCTTCATTTACATAATTTGATAAATTGATATATGTTTGGAAAATTATTTCAATAGGTTTTTTTTTCTTAAAAAGAGGAAAACTGTATACATCATCAGGGTTTTGAAGGCTTATCTATTTATGACTAACTATTCATGGTAAAGGTGATATAGAGAAATTGAACATCAATTTTCCATTTGAAGCATAACTTTGTGTGAAGCAACTTATTATGTTTCCTTTGTTCTTGAGAGTAAATAACACACCAGACCTCTCATAAACTGACAATAATTATGAATACCTGATTATGCTCTACAAAGAATCGATTTACATAAAAAGAAAACCATTCGATAAAAGTCAATAGGACAGTAACACCACAACAACAAAAAAGAAACAATAGGGGTCAATATACCTTAATGAAAACTGTTATGAACGTTTAATTATACTTTGATAGCTTTGTTTGGTCGAAAATGTTGTTCCTGGCAAATTAAAGAGTTGCAGATTTTCCGTTAAGAAATTCCGCCAACTTGTGTCCTTCGAGTGACAACTTTTGTTTTTACACTTGTTGTTAATCCTTCATTCCATTATAACTGTTATTTACCTGCTTTATATTGCTAATTAGGTATCAAGATGGAAAAAATAGTGCTTACTTCCAAAATTATGCCGCATTATGTATGTGTTGACAGTGATACGTATGAATAACATTGAACGTTAGCGACCTATTGTCTACAAGGATGGTTATATGTGTTACGTATGCATAAAAAGGGAATTTTCCCACGGTAAACATGATTAATACTTGAATTCGAACTTATCAGCTGAAACTATAGGTATTTATTTTTCACATACGAAAACATCTTACAAAAAACCGTTTAACATTTAAATATTTATTGTGCCTGCAATTGTTGTATTGCGTTCTAAATAGAATGAATTTCATAACAGCGTGGACATGGACACATGATATTTAAATGTTATCGTGTTTATCACTGGCTGTCGACATCAAAGACTTCACGCAATTGCAGTATTGTAAATGCTCTTTTGTTCCGACGTTGGAAAGTTCCGGGCGGAAAGAACTAACTAGCCGAAAAGTTCCGGAGGAACTTATTAACTAGTTACTTTGTTCTTCCTCTGGTTTAAAAGTTCCACCGGAACAAAGTGACTAGTTGAAAAGTTCCAACGGAACATATCAACTAGTTAGAAAGTTCCTTTTTGCCAAATTAGTCAAAACCGGAACTAACAAACTAGCCCAAAAGTTCCAACGGAACTTATCAACCAGGCAGAAAGTTCCATTTGGAGAATTGATGCAAAGTAAAAGCGCAACATATTATATTTGAACCTTTCAAAGGGTAACCAAGATACTGATTACAAAAGTCAAAAGGAACTTATCAACTAGCCACAAAGTTCCTCTTTGGCAAATAAGTCAAAACCGGAACTAACAAACTAGCCCAAAAGTTCCAACGGAACTTATCCACCAGTCACAAAGTTCCATTTGGAGAATTGATGCAAAGAACCACATGAGGAGGGGGGTATTCTTCCCTCTCTTGAGGGTACCATGAATACTAAATTTGCATGATAATGCAACTTATTCCGTTTTATGTGAGCTATGAAATACAACTTAAATTTTGCATATTTGTCCCCAAAGAAACCCCTTTCAGTGCTTTGGGTATTCTTGTAAATTAATGGTTTGCTCTTATATATACTGATACTCATTCTTCCCCCTCTTTCTACAAAAAGGACGAAATATGGTATATTCGGAACGATGTAACTAGTTGTTCTGTTCCGCTAGAACTATTCAACTAGCTACATTGTTCCGGGACTTTTCAACTAGCTACTTTTTTCCGGAACTTTTCAACTGCACTCGAAATAAAACAAATAGTTGGAAAGTTCCATCGGAACAAAGTAACTGACGGAACATAGTGGCTGTTACATTATTATGTCAACATAACAGTAACAGTGCACTGTGTAATGATAACCTTTAAACTGGGTGCACTCGTTTAATTATTCTAATATAAAAGGTATTATGAACATATTTAATTCATGGATAGATACTGAAACACAAATTAAAAAAAAAAGTACAATTCTAAATCAAATAGCTGTGATCCGTCCATTCGTTTTTCAAATCAACAGAACAGCTGCATTTAACAGGTCGGGCACATTTCCTTATACGAACATGTATTATTTAAATTAGCATACGTATGCCCCGTCAATGTATGTTTTAGTGTTTGTTTACAAATAAAGCTTCTTTTTTTTATTTTAGCGATTGACCAATCCACTGAATGATTTGCAAAGCATGATGGACTACTTGTCTATAAATGCATGATGGACTACTTGTATATATATATTCAAAACAAATTCCTATAAACTTTCATGCAAAAACTTTTATTTTATGAATTGACATGTGTAAAATAGTAATGATGTATATCCCCATTGAGAGGTCCCTGACATACTGTAATTGCGAGAAGTCTTTGTCGACAGCCAGTGACCGACACGATAACACTAATGTCTTGTAAAAGTATTAAAAACTTCTTTCAAAAAGAAAAATGATACGAGGCAGTTTATCCTTTATTATTCAATTCCATCAGCAAGGTACTTGAGTAATTGATTACAAAAGCGTTATAAAGAAAATCTTAAAAAAACACTTTTAAAATAGTTCAAAAAAGTGCGTCCTCTGTGATACAGATGCCTTCACATTTTTTGCCCTATATTTACTGCGTCGCTCTTTGATTAGTTGGCTTATAACCTCATTAACTTCATAGTTATGTGATAACGTTGTTACGGGAATGTTTGATACTGTGCAACATGTTCTGTTGCTGAAACTGGCGAAGATGCCGAAACAAAAGCCAGTGTCCGACGACTTGTCTCCTGTCTATAAAACATAAATCCACTGGCGGAACTAACTCACAGACTGGTAGAGCGAATACAAACGATGACTTTCAGTATGGATTTTTATTTACACTTTAAATGAACGGATGGTGTCAATTCAAAAGGCTGACTCCGACTGAAAACTTAACTCCAGTCGACACATTATAAAGATAGACAATGCTTACAGGTTACCAAAGAATTAAATTACATAATAATAAATTGACAAATTTTACAAACATACAATTAGTACGTAAAAAAAATAACAATAGACGATGATTGAAAAACGGATTAATGCCAATGCAATCATACATGTACTGAACAAGAACGGATAAACGGATATTCAAAAGAATTATCTATGTACGCTATAAACATTAATGGATTAAAAAAATAATGAAACGAAATAGTGATGTAGCATAAATTAACATATCTCTTGTAGAGTTTTTCACACAGTTTTAGATTAAAAAAGCACATGAATGGTATTTAAGAATGCAAATCGAAACACATTGTCTATTGAAGTTAGAATGAAATTGTCTGAAAAGATTAGACAGAAACTATAAAAAAAATATTAGAAATAAGTCCGAATGTCCGAAATAAGAAACACACAATTTGGTTCGTCTTTTTTCCACGATCGCAGTTACTGCAATTTAAAATTAAATGAATGTTATGATGTTTCTATAAAATTTCTATTTCCTTGTATTTATGCAATTGAAAGTTCATTTTGAAGAGCCGTTTCCTCTACACAAAACGTCCGGTATTTTTGAAATAAATATCTATTGCGTACTTTTTGCCATTATGTTAGAAAAATGATTTGCAGAAAGTTAAATCTGGTCTTATACTCTGTGTTTTATTTACAATGCACTGGAACGGAATACACTGGAAAGAATGTGTGTTGGTAAGATCCTTTTCTTACATTATTTTCTTTAAATTAGTGGGTTTCATAATAAAGTCATCTTTTAGATTTGCTTTAAAGACAAATCAAAAGAGTTCAAACAGACATCGTACAAATGAAAACTGTATAATTCCTACACTTCACGCATCAGAGATTTTTCTAATTATTCTTAGCCTTAATTGTCATAAATTTTCCCACTTATTTACATATTCGATTAAAAAAAACATATTTCATTAGAAATAGCCAATGACTTGAGAATAATATAAAAATACATTTTATTGTAACAAAGTAAAAAGTCAGGGTTTTGTTTACTTCCGTTACCAAAAACAATCATTTAAAAAAAAAACTTATACATTTCAAATAAAAATCAACTTCTTTCAACATTTTTTACCGCCCAAAAATGCATTATTTGCATGCCATGCTAGTATTTTGAAAACTTCTAATCTTTGTTAGACCTATTATGATATAGGCAGCGAAACTTAAGTTATTTTTAAACATTCACCTAAGTTTTTCACAAAATCTGAATCTTTTTTTAACTAAGTTTTCAAGGACGCCAGTCTAATCTTTGGTATGGGACTTTTGATATTATTATATTACAGCCATGTATACTTTGTTTAGAAATATAGGGCATTTTTTTTTAAATAATAATCAATTAAAGTATTTAGATAATACCTTTAAACAGACTTTTGTACAAATGTACATAACAGAATTAAACTTCACATATTATGTATGTAATTATTACAAAATGCAATAGTGTATTGGCTCAAACACATTTACAATACATTAAAGTTTAGGGAACAGTCATTATCTATCAGCTGAGGGGTCGGTTCATTTTAGGGGGGGGGGGGGGGGGTCATTACCAAAAATATCATACAGTTGGGGGGGGGGGGGGGGTTGCCATCAAAAATTTTATTTGACTGGAAGGGGGGGGGGGGTCACACAATGAAAGTTTTTATGTCTAACAAGCATATAAATTGTTGACGATATTGAAGTGAGTGTGCAATCTTTTAAATAATTTCTGTCATTATTAAATCATTGATCATGTACAGCACTAGCAGGATGCCTAAGTTCTCAAGGGTAGTGAATCTGGTCACTCCTTATCACAGTCATCTGTTATGGTTCATTATCCCATTGAACTATTATATTGACCCTTTATCCATAGGATGTGAAAGTTTACAATCCGACTTATCTCAAGATTAACAACTGTATAAAACATTTGTCTCTTACTAGTTTTGACCACAGGAAACAATGAGTTTTAAAAGTTTCTGAACATGTGTATTACAACTTTCTGAAGTGTTCAAATCATTTTGATGCGATTACGGATAGATATAGGACTGTAAAAGGTGTGTACGTTCTAAAATAATTTGTAAATATGTATAACTATTTTATGAAATTATTACAAAGATATCGAATAATAATAAGAATTTTTAATGTTCAAATCGAGGGCCCTTGTTGGGCAGCATGGCATTCACACACACAAAACAAGACACTGGGGTTTCGTAAAACATTTTTCACATTGAAATAAAATATTGAAAGTTCATATAATTATTAACCTACATTTATATTTCTTTATGTCAAATAAATCATGTACATTTTTGTACATATTTGATCCAGGAAGGACTAGAACCATAAAATCAGCAATATTTGTAATGTGCTATTTTCAGTTGCACTTCCAAGAGTGGGATTGAAATAAAAAAATAACTATACGATGAGAAAATTAAAATCCACAAAACATTTATAAAACTTCAAAATTTTAATAAAGGCATTAAAAGAATTGAGACATATTGTTTACTCTTTTTTTTATGTTTTTTCATTCACAAATAATTCTGTGTCAGACAGTAAATTTACATTTATTCATAATAGAGGGGAAATCATTATTGAAAGGTTATATATAAAATTTGTACAATTTTATAGGTTGCAGTCAAATAAATTAAATTTGGAACAAAGAATTTTCTTTTTTTTTTTTTTTTTTCTTTTTACGTCATTTCATTCATTTATAAGAGCACATGCTAATGTATATAAACAAATTTGGCTAGAATTAGCAGTTTCAAAACCAGGGACAATCTGTATTAAGATATGACTTCATTCTGTTCATGAAGGTTCAAGTTAAAATGCAATATATTTTTTTTTCATTTAAATGCTTATTTTGTCAATTTTTCTTCTTGCATGTGTCAGATATTCATATTCGAAAGAAAAAATACAAGACGAAAAACTCTATTGTATACTCAGGGTTTTCTCAAAGAAGAATAAACTGAAAAATGTTTACTAAAATCAGTTGCATCAGCTTCAAAACAAAGTACATGGAAGGTCATGATGAAACATCAAGGCAATATAATATTTACAGAATATCACCAGAGACATATATATACACATATATATACACATAATCACTTTAATACTAGTGTTTGCTAACCAGACAAAGTAAATTATCTTTATCAAATTAATTAGTTCAAGCTACTTATATAAAATAACAGAACTATAGTGTAGAATGTATTATAAAATATCAGTTCAAAATCAAAGAAAATGAGTACTGCAATCAAGGAAAATCTTTTTATGCTGTATTCTGTTACGGAAAGTGTCAATCTCCACATACTTCTCATAGCTATTTTTCAAGTCAATGCCTGCAACTTTGTACTATGTAGCTTGCAGTTATCATCTTTTTTGTTGGGTGGGGGTCAAACTATGTTCTCAGGTGGGTCATCGTGTGGTTCATAAGAATCATGGGGGGGGGGGGGGGGGGGCGGTGTTGCCAACAAAACCTTTTAATGTGAAAAATTTGAACCGACCCCCTCAGCTGATAAATAATGACCATTCCCTTATCACATATAAGAGCATAACATCGTTATATAATATCCAAGCAATATATAATTGGTGGTTTTAAATATATATATATATATATATATATAAGTCTAGAGATTTGCACAACGATACTAATATAAGATGGTATTATACGAAGATGTTGTTAATAAATCGTGTTGACAAATATTTCGGCTTAACAAATAGCCTTCTTCGGTGTCAATTATTTTAACAATACTGATAATATGTATAAAAATAGCTCAATAATACAGGTAAGTTTTGGTCTATTGATTTAATCCAAAATCCTGAACATCATAATATAAAACAAAACTCAATACTCAAATATACGTGACTGTGTATATTTACAACCCAAAATGAGTGAAAAATAAAACTTAATATTTTTTATTGATGCCGTTTGGATGATGTACATTTAGTTCCTTTATCCAAAAGCTTTCCCGAACCTGTCGCTGGGCATCACTCCAGTGAATGTTCTGTTCAATCACTAGGATCTTCATGCGGTTAAAGTCATCAAGTGTGTGACCAGACTGTCTGAAATGCTGAGAAACTGGGAGAAGTGGCTTCTTAGAGATATCACTCCTATGGCCATTGAGGCGTTTGTGGAAAGGCTGCTTTGACTCACCAACATATTGGAGGCCACAAACCGAACATTCTAGAATGTAAATAACATTCATACTTTTGCAGTTAACATTGCAAAATATCTTATAGTTATTTTCGGTTGCCTTACTGTGAAAAGTTGATGAGTGATGCATCTGTAGGCAGCATTTGCAGCGTTTTTCATCACACGAACGACATTCTCCAGAAGTATATATATATATACAAGTCTAAATTGAAAACAACGTTCAAACCTATGATTGCGTTGGATAAAAACCGCAATTTTTATACGTGTGCATGCAAAACAAATTTCTTGTTAGAGGGGTCTAAATACAGCACAAACAACATTTTCCAAAAGACCAAAAAAGTGAAAAAGTATATTTTAACAAAACGCATTTGACTAACAGGTCGAACAACAAATGTTCTTAAACTCTGCTGACTGCCATTGGCGATTGCCAAATAAACGGATCACCGATGTAATAAATGGATCTTAATTATAAATCTAATACTAAACAGAAAACAATAAACTTGCGGAAAAGATGATATACCGCAAACAAAAGGTGCAAAGGTTTTTGTACACCATATCCGGATTTCGACAATTAATGTCTCTTCAGTGATATTAGGAATCGAAACAGTATTTATGTACAAGTCTAAATTGAAAACAACGTTCAAACCTATGATTTCGTTGGATAAAACCCGCAATTTTTATACGTGTGCATGCAAAACAAATTTCTTGTTAGAGGGGTCTAAATACAGCACAAACAACATTTTCCAAAAGACCAAAAAAAGTGAAAAAGTATATTTTAACAAAACGCATTTGACTAACAGGTCGAACACCAAATGTTCTTAAACCCTGCTGACTGCCATTGGCGATTGCCAAATAAACGGATCACCGATGTAATAAATGGATATATATGCCTAAAAAAGTGTGCAAATCAATACCAATATTAAAAAAGGAAACAGTAAATACAAGTATCAATAAATATTTCGGATAACAGATATCATTCATCAGTATGATAATAATGGTGTAAAATGAATCATATCAATCTACGTATTTATACATCCAAAAATGAATAGCACTGTGCGATTTGAACTGATATAAATCTAGACTTTCAGAGTTGACGAAGGTATAGGGGTTATAACAGAGACGGCATCAGTATTCTGTTAATTCAGAAATTATTGCGTACATTTACTATTGCGATTTTTGAAGAATGGACAAAAATGCGAGATTTATTATTGCAATTTCAGGAAAATCTGCATACACTTATATGTATCAGATATCAGAATACGAGTTCTTATTATTGCAATTATCCCCCAGTCGCATTATTCGCATTTATAGAAACCTCGCAATAATTTCTGAATTTACAGTATTCAGTATTTGCTTGCAAGTCAGACATCTTTTGTTCCCACAACCCTTGCAAGAGCCCGCTGACGAAGAGCCTGGTTTAGAGGATAAATCAGCTCTCATCAGCTAGTCTTTAAGGCTTTTGGGCCTACAGAAAGCCAGTACGGGTGATGATCTTTGATAGTTTTGAATGTTTTTCTATTTCTTTCCAATTTTCTAGGATAATGTGTGATAATTTGTCAAATTAAGG